TTTTTTGCAGATAAGTTTTTATAGATTTGTCTTTCTCATTCCACGTATGTTCAATGTCTAAAATAAAGATATTAGAAAATGTACATTTTTGGGAATATCTTTGAATTTGTATTACATGAAATATAAATATGTCTTGATATATAAAAAGTATGGCATATGAAATGTGAATTTAAAAGAAAATATAGAAATTTATTGTCTTATATGTCACTTTTCTAAAGTATTCTCATGAAAAATATTAGACAAAGCTGACAAAAACAAATTTACCTACATCATTTGTCAAAAAAATACTTTTATGTAAAAGATCTGCGGCTAAAAGTAAAAGATTTATTTTAAGGATTTTAAAATTTTAAGTTCGAACATGATGAACATGAACCTACTTAAAATTATATATAACAAAAAGTTTTCAGAACAATTAAAACATGTTTAATAACAATAATACTTTTGTAAGCATATTGCACGCATTACGGTGCTTTCCATTTCAATGTTGTTATATACCTTATTTGTTCGTCTTATTCATGAAAAAAATAAAAATTTAAATATTAAACATTTATATATTAAGTTTTTTTTTTAATACAAATTAGTGGTATCATATTTTTCAGTCATGTATATTTAAAAGTGAAAATAATAATACATTTATTATTATGCACCAACAGTAACAAGATACACACATTGTTCCCAAAATTAACACAGAAACAAACGTTTACAAGTTTAATTATTAAACATATATTTTTCAGGTATTTAAAAGTAGTAGTAGCAGCAAAACTCAATAAAAATTACCATCAATTTATTTTTTCTTTGAACAACCTATTAATATTTCTTGACATTAGCAACATTTATTTTGATAACGATTTCTTGTATGTATGCATGCGAGAACAAAAATGTATACAATGATCAAAATATAGAGAAGGTGGAGCTACAATGTAATTGGTACTGCGATTTGCTGTTACTATGATGTAAGTAATTATGTGAAGGTATTAATTTATGTACATAATAGCTTCGACATTTTCCTCTAAACTGCACGATTAATATAACTAAATATTGTTCCCTTAAAAATTTTACCATTCCATGGAAAAAGCGTATAAAACTCAGTTCAGTTACAACGTATGAATTAATCATTTCATAATTACAAAAAAGGAAAATGTTGGAATTAATATCAGTGTAAAAAAGAGAGGGTGCTAAGGATATAAATACCATTATTTTAACATGTGACGGCATGAATCAAAACAAACAAACAAAAAAAACTATTATATAATATAATTCTTAAACTACTTTTTTCTACGAAAAAATAAAAGTCATCAAATTATAATTATAATAAATGCAATATGGGAAGGTAATAAATAACTTCAAGATTTTTTACGTGATTTTTAAAAAAAATTAAATAAAATTTTTTATAAATATTTAAAGTTTTAATTTGTAAAGTCATATACCTGGCAATAATGGTAAGTATTAAAATAATATCTAGGTGAGCAGTGGCAATAGCAGTTGACAACATTCGAGTGAATTTATTTATGCCTGTCTTTATTTAGCTTCGTACATTTAGAGTGTAACACAGTCAAACATGAAGAAGCTTTTTCCTCATCCAAATTAAAGAATATTTTCTCTTAGACACATCTGCCATTGAAGCTTACATTTATAAAAGCCAAGAAATCACTTTCGTTTAAAAGGAACATAATTGAGGCATAGTGTTACACACTGTACATAGGGTGTCTCTAAAATATGGTACCAAACAAGAGAAATGGCAAATGTTCACTGCCAAAAACCCCGTTTAAAAAAAAATGGCAAGATTTTTATATCCATCCAGATACAGGTTCCCAAAATAAAAATGCCATGCTCTCCAATTTTATCAATATATTAGGTCAATTAAAAGATATATTTTTTTTATTTTTACCCAAGTGATCATGATAAAATAACGTTTGTTACTCTGTATAATTATAATTATTACTTATAACTGATCTTTTAATACACAGAATGTGGGAAATTTGTAATGGAGTGGTACAATAAATGTCAATAGTTGACAACTTTCTCTTACGACTTCATCAAAATAGCATTAATTAAATTTAATACCAACATATACTTCCCGACCAGAATTTTTCTATTTAACATTTTTTCTAAATTTAAAAAGTAACAAATTAAAGAGGGGGCGGCATTGAATGTATGGCACAAAGAATTATAATTTTTTTTGGGTTAAAGTAAAATTTAAATTGAGTCATTAACAAAAATATTACAAGGGTATTTTTAATATAAGTACCAAACTGAAAAAGGACACAGGCAATGTAATTTGACCAGAGATTCAATAATATATAGTAAATAAGTTACAGGGTGATAAAGGTGCGCTGCCAAAAACAATTTTTTTAAATCGCACTGAAATTCTAATCCCGATCTAAATTAATCTTGACATGTCTTTAAATTGTCGTTAAACTATTATTAAATTCGCTTTCAAGTTTCGTCACACTTTTTGCACTTTTTTGTTCATAGCCAAACTTTTATTTTTCAGTTCTCTTAACAAAATGACTATTACCTCTGCACTTATGAAAACAACTGTAATTCAAGACGTTTTAAAACTGAATCGTGTGAACTCACCTTAAGGATTACAGTTCCAGTGGCGTCAAATTTCTGGGGCTCTTAGTGATAGTGTGACCCCTCTATCTCCGCCACTGTTAGACATAGTTATATCCAAATTCGGTGGATTTTTACATTTAATTGGAGAATTAGATCAAATTCCATCACTCTATGTCAAATGTCATCAAAGATATTTTAGATTATTCAAATTTCAACATCCTGTATCTCAAAAAGAGCCCGAACAATTCTTCATAGGACGTTTTTTTTCTTACTTTGACGATCCAAATTCAAACTTTAATTTTGGAAAATTTATCCTGAAACACCTAGTATATTACAAAAATTTCACGTGGACCATTTCAATAAAAAAAATTTTTGGATCACAGATCTATCTACACTATCATGAAGAGTACATTTGTACTCAAAATTAAAGTAATTTGCCACACAACTTTATAGACAAAACAAATATTTTTAGTCAAAAAACAGTGAAGAGTAATAGAATCAGATTTTAGAATTGATTGTTTATACAGGACATATCAAAAGTACCGAAACGGCAGAATAACTCGGCGAGAGAGCATTTTACCGGAAAATCAGATAGCTCCCTGGCTATCCGATGGTGATCTTGACCTTCACATTTGACCTTGAAGATCATTTCAAGGTCAAATGTGATTTTTCAAATGAGACCCTATACTTTTGACTCCAGAAGTGAAAAGAACGGAAAATTTTACGTTCAGATATAACCTTGAGTGACTCCTCCCTTTTGACCTTGGGGCCCCCACAAGGTCGAACTGACAGAAGTACAGCAACGGCAGAATAACTCGTCGGGAGAGAATTTTAGATAAAAATATTGACCTCGAAATGACTTTCAAGGTCAAGGTCACCATTGGATAGTCAGGGAGAAATCCTGAAACTTTTGTATTTAACATTTTTCTCTAAATTGCTCTCCCGCCGAGTAATTCTGCCGTTCTGGTACTTTTGCTATACCCTGTATTTATGGCAAAACTGATTAACTAAAAAAAAATAATCTTTAGAAACCTAAAATATCTCAAAGTTATAACCCTAACTATGGTTAATATATAATAATAATATAATAAATGTGTGTAGTTGTGTTTTATATAAAATTTTGGTTTTTAAAATATCCAAGACAAATTTTAGTAATAGTTCTCTTTGATGATACAGTAATACCTCGATTATTGCATATTCCGGATTATAGTTTCAATGTTTGTATATATCGGTGTTAAAATTTGCAAGTTCCAAAACAAATAGTGTATGTTTTACAATTTATAGTAACATTGAATAAAGGTGAATATATTACATTAAAATTGAGAAACAAAACAAGCATTATGAAACGGTTAAGATTTTCAAGGCATTTTTCTTACACACTTACACTAAACCATACCTGGCGTAGAAAAGTGTAGTCAGTGCACTCGTATAAAAAATCTGCTTCAGTGCAAAATACATGCTCATATACACTGGCCGGTGTATAAATTGTTATAATTTCCGACACCCAGTGCAAATACAAGAATGAAAAAAACAAGTAAAGTGCAAAAAGGATAACTTACACTCGCAAAGTAAAGAGGGAGGAAAGTGCAAATAGCGAAAGGTGAAAGAAAAATACCTTTTTTATTTTACCTGTTCGTACTTTTTATATTCGAAGTTATACCATACGCAATACCCAATGTTTGAATACATGTTGTCACATATTGCACTAATATACAGAGCATCTGGAAGCCAATAGACCTTCTTCGAGAGTGGCGTTCCTGGTACAATTTTATTAGTTAGTCACTTTTTAAGTTCCCAAGATTTGCCATATTTTTGCTAATACAGATTTTGAGAAAATAGATATTTTATGAAACCATGCTTTATTTGTCGTTAAACATGTTATCCACTAAAATATATCATTTCTTCTGCTGTCTAGTCCCATTAAACTAAATACATCTGCTAAAGAGTGACCGCAAAAAACCTGTGATTTTTGCCTGTTTTTTCACAATTCGCAGAGAATTTAAAAAAAAATACATAAAAATATTTTTGGTCGCAATTTACTCGTAGTAAAAAACTGAAATAAGCATTTTTTTAGTATTTTGAAAATTTTAATAATCACCCCTACTTAGGGGATGAAAAAATGCCAAAAATGAAGAATTTGAATATTACCAATTGATATAAAAACTATTAGCATGTGAATTATCCTAATATTTTTGTTTTTTGGATTTTTTACAATTTTTTCCGATATCCTCTATTTTTGGGGATTGTTCCACCCCTTGAATGCGCTGAAGTAGTGAATGCTTATTTCATTCGATAGAAAAATTCACATGTTAATAGTTTTTATATTTATGAATATTCAATTCTTCATTATGAGCGTCTTTTCAACCACTAAATAGGGGTGATTTTTGAAAATTTTCAAAAAACTAAAAGCTACACTCATTTTAATTTTTTACTTCTAGTAATTTGAGACCAAAAACATATTTTTATCTACTTTCCTTAGTTCTCTGCGAATTGTGAAAAAAACGGGCGATTTTTGCGGTGACTCTGTAGCCATACTATTTTGTATGATTAAAAATTAACTTACATCAATCATTAGCACCAATGATATAACTTGATCTAAATAGTAATAAAAAAACAAACAAAATTTGACAAAGGGATGACATTTAACTGAATTGGAATGGAAGACAATTTAAATGCAAAATATAAATAACGAAAGATCTGCATTTTTCCCAAAATCTTTACCAACACAGAAAATATGCCGAAAAATAAGATTATTCCGAGTATTCTTAATAATCTCTATGTTCATGTTCTATTTAAAAAATCTCGGTACACCAAATTTCTTTGAAATATGTAGAAAAGTAACCGAGGAATCTTGGCCCATAACTTTTTAAAAAAACAAACTATGGTAACTTGATCTTAGTTACATTTTTATCCACGGAAGCTGCCCTTGGAGTATGGTAGATTATGTTCCAGACGCACTTATTCTGCACTTATTTAAGAAAGACCCCACAGGTGTTCCGTGAGAAAGTGCGGATTTGAAGGCGATATTCCTTGAAAATAAACAAAAAAAAAGTTCATACAAACCAGGGTTCACAAATGTATACTATTTTCCATTAGACTTTCATATTGAATTAAAAAAATATATTTTAATATTTAAAAAACGCAATTAAATTAAACTTAATCTTCAAAGTTTTAGTTTTTTATCTATTTATGCTATAACAGATGGCGCTAGTGTTCGTTTAACAATTCAATCTCCAATGATGTTGCGATTCTTTTTCTCAATATATTTTAATCGTGGGGAATAATTTGCTAACGATGTATACGAATAATAATAATAATAATAATGATAATGATAATAAATTGCTTGTATGGTTTTGCATATACTACATGTAGAAATTATTGTATCAAATTTTGTAAAGCCATTTGTATATGTTTCTGGACCAAGGTTTATATAAGCATTTTAGCTTAATTTTATAGGTTTTACCCCCAAAGTTTGCGTCCTCGCGTAACACCACGTACAGGGTGTTCTGTTCCAGAAATGATCGCAAAAAATAAAAAGTTGGAGTTCTTAGATCGAAGCACTCTACAAAGTTACAGGAAAATCAATGTCAGGGATAAAATTATTTTTCAATTTTTTTTTTTCTGTGACGTATTATCCTCACCAAACGTTACTTTAATACCGTATTGTCTTCGTTCCACTTTTCTTGTCAAAGGTTTTATAGTTTGAAGATTTTAAAAACAATGATCAAAAAAATTTACATACTGGAAAGATTTTGACAAGGAAAATGAAATAAAATAAAATAAAATTCTGTTTTGCCTCATTGAGTTGTAACTTCATAGAGTGCTTCGATTGAAAATTTATTCTCTTACTTATTTCTGGAATACCATGTATATATTAAAATAATATATGGATTTTTGTTATTAGGAATCATATCTGCAAAATATAGTATGACATTTTGTTAATAGGAAGGGCCATATCATCTAAAAATACACAGCCTATGTCGCAAATACATCAATATCGTTAAAAAAAGTTTGAAGTATTAGTTTTCGTTTCATTACAGTCTATATAAGTGGAAATTACTTGATGTACCAATTCATTTAGCAAAAATAAAGAATTTAAAAATTCTTTCAATGAAGAATTAGATTATTTTATTTAATAATAATTAAAAACCAGTGGAACATTCAGTGAATACGTGTGCATTTAAATAATGGCTCAAAAATTGCACATATAACATGGAAAAAGTAAATCTAGTTCGACCTCAAATAAGGAAGAAATAAATTGGTAAATACGTCTAAGAAATATTAACGTGGCAACTTATAATTCTGGTTTGTTTAAAAAAAATACACAGCCTTATTACACGTACACAAACCACATTGATACGACCTCGTGCATAGTATGTAGAAACTGAGACATTCATTGATTGAAAGGTCGCAAGTAAATACTACACCCTGGCGCTTCCTTCACTGGGGAAGACAATCATCATGATTGCGTTCAACTAAATACAAAAATATTAAACTGTATAAAGGTACAATTATTATACATATATCAAAAAAGCATTATTAAACTGGATATTTCTGTGAATATCAACAATATGGACTACGGCTGAAACTCAGCACGGCAAAGCATAATCAAAACTGTTGTCATAAAAATATAGTACACTCATTTATGGAGACAGCACTTCACTCAATCTACCAGAGGCACTTTAAAGTCACTGAGTGAGAACCGGCCCCGCATATACACTGAACAATTATTAGTTGCAAAACAGCAATTCATAACACACACAAGAAATAGTTTGATGGATATGTATATTTGGCATAAAATGTTTATCAGCAAGCCAATTCCTGGGGTGCTGATGGAATTAGGGGTGAAAGTGGTGGTGCTGACGGATACGTCAGGTCAGGCCAGTATCACGGCTGCCCTTGTTCTGCCATAATGTTGTGGACCTGTTCTAATTTATAGGCCAATCGCTGCTTCTGTGAAAATTCATCCTCTTCTAAGGTAACTGTTAACTGCTCGTTGTATTTCATTGCATATGTGTATAATTCATGTAGAGCACAATTCGTATTAAATTCGGTGGTGTGTAACTGAAACAAATTTTTTTTTAATTCTCCTTTTCATCAAATAACACGCCAAAAGCAATCTTATGATTTTCTTTATCAAAATTTATATTTTTTCAGAAAAATTTTAATAAAACACCACAGAAAAGTATAATGGGGGGATTCACATATGGTGATCAAAAATGAAACTTCGTATTCTTTGGTGAATTCTTTCGTATAAAACTTTTATCTAGGACACTTCGTTAAAATGATATAGGGTGTTAAACTTAAAAAAATATTTTTAATTTTTCTAAATTATTTAAAAAACTAGTACCTAAGTGAAATAATTGGAAATTGGGCACATGTATTTATATAAACATTGTCCAAAATCTGACAACTTTTTTTAAAATTTAGATGTTTCAGTGGCGCAGATACAGACGTAAATAAAATAGTACACCACTGCTTTACGGTAACAATCATGATATTTTTTCGGATTCATCTTTTTATTTTCAAACAAATTACTACACTTTTATGTTTTTCGAAAAAAGCCCGATTTTCGAGTAAAATTAAAAATATGAAAACACTTTTACTTAAATGACTTGACAAACACTAATCATTTGGATATTTATTCGAATAAAGAAATTAATGATATTATTCATCATTTTAATGATTTTATTTGATTAAATGCTCAAAAATACCTCCATTTCCAGGAACACAGACATCTTTTTAGTAACGAAAATGTAATTTGTTCGAAATTTATTGTTGCGTGCATCTGATAAAAGCATTATTTATTCTTTCTTCTAATTGCTCAGAATGACAGAGTAGCTGTAGCAGCCTACTATGTAACTTTAAACCGCATTTTATTTGAATATCAAAGTGTGTTTTCAGTTCATTTTTAAGTTTTACTCGAAAATCAAGACATTTTTCGAAAAACAAAATAGTAGCAATTTGCAGAAAATTTAAAGATGAATTCGAAAATATCATGATTGTTACCATAAAGCAATGGCGTACTATTTTATTATGCCACCGATACCCTGTATCTCCGTCACTGGAGCATCTAAATTTTAGGAAAAGGCCTCAGATTTTGGACAATGTTTACATAAATACATGTGCCCCATTTCAAATTATTTTCCTTCCTAGTTTTTAAAATTATTTAAAAAAAATTAAAAATATACAATATATCGACACCCGTACTAAACAGAAACTGAAAAGAGATTAACAATCTCAATTATTACCAGTACCTCCTTCCATAAAAATAATTGCCACAATCGCTATAAGCTCCGCCCGCAAAAATCCCCTATACCAATTGCAACAACCGAGTTACTAATGCGCTTGAGCAGCGTGATCCAATTTAACTATTAAAGCGAATTAATTCGTCTGGAGCAGTTCGAGTCCTATAAATTTTTAGCAACCTGTATCATTTTAATGAAGCATCCTAGATAAAAACTTTATACGAATGACTCCCCAAAATTCACCAAAGAATACGAGGTTTTATTTTTGGTCACCGTTTGTGAATCACACTATATTTTTCAGTTTTTCAATATTATTCCAGTATACCAATTTTTAACCCTAATAAACCTTTTTTAGATTTTTTTTTAATTTGACCAAATGTAAACAAACATTTTTATCAAATTATGTATTTCTACTAAAGACACCAGCTAAATGAATTTTTGTACCTAAAGATATATTGAAGTCCTTTAAAATTAATGCCAAATTGCTTGGTTACAAGTAAAATTTTATTGTTTTTTTTTTATGAAGTTAATAAAACGTAAGTCAAACTACTAAATTAGAAATAATACTAAAAGAACCAAGGCCATGAAAACATTACAAATGATTAGAATGATACAGAAATAGAAAAATTGAGAAATTTATCAGAAAAATAACATTCGAAACTATCGCTTAGAAGAAATCTCCTGAAGAGAAAATGGAAATAATAAGTTGACAAGAAATAGGTAGGGCTATTTATGAAACTAGCAGTTAATTTTTGATACTGCAGCCTATAGCTTGGCACTTTTCAGTTCATACATATAGGCTATTGATTATATCCAAAAAAACAGGGTTAAAAGAAACTATGACGTTTCAGCAATTTTATTGCATGAATCGTTTAAAGGGTCATTTTAAATGAAAAAACCGCAGAGTGCTATTAAATTAGAGGATGGAAATTGGAGATAGGGGTGAAAATGCACCCTTTTCAGTTTTTTAAATGTAGCTCGAAAATGAAGCAAAATTTCACTAAGTTCATAGGAAAAATTATTTAGAGAATTGAATTTCCCATCGAAATGGCTTATTTTAAAGGAAAATTTTATGCAAAAAATCGTTTAAACAAAAAAAAAGCAAAAAATTAGGAAGAAAATTGACTGATAAATGGCCGCTCAAACTTACAATGAGCCAATTTTTTTATTTTTGTCGCGTTTAACTTTATACGTTTTAATTTTCACTTTTTGTAAAAAAAAGAAGGAAATAAGTTGTTTAAGGATTTTCATCACATGACTTGTTCGAAGGGTCATTAAAAATGAAAAAACCGCGGCGTACTATTAAATTAGAGGGTGGAAATTGGAGATAGGGGTGAAAATGCACATTTGCAGTTTTTTAAATATAGCACGAAAACGAAGCAAAATTTCGGTATAGTTCATAGGAAAAATTTTGTAAAGAATTCAATTTCCCATCGAATTGGGTTATTTAAAAAATTTAAAAGAAATATTTTATGTAAAAAATCGTTAATAAACAATTTAAAAAAAAAGAAAAAATAAGATTTTTTTATTTTATTTACTTTTTTGACTTTAAGTTGTGAGAATCTTTATTTATTAAATAATTTTTTATTAAGTAAAAATAATAAGAATTATAATCATTATTATCTTAAAAACAACGAAAATCTAAAAAATATTTAAGTTTGACCCGTTATAACAGTCAATATTAGAAGGGAATCTCATTTAGTTTTTTTGTACAGCGAATCAAAAAAGTAAAAAAAAATCAAATAATCTTATTTTCTTTTCTTATTTTAAAATGGTTTATTAACGATTTTTTGCACAAAATTTTAAATTTTTTAAATAAGCCATCGATAGGAAATTCAATTTTCTACAAAATTTTTCCTATGAACTATACCGAAATTTTCCTCGTTTTCGTACTATATTTAAAAAACTGCAAAAGTGCATTTTCAACCCCATCTCCAATTTCCACCCTCTAATTTAATAACACGCAGTTTTTTCATCTAAAATGACCATTTAAACGATTCATGTAATAAAATATCTCGAATATCATAGTTCCTTTTAAAATCCTATAAAATCAATAGCCTAATAATGAAAGGGAAGAGGTAAATATAAATTATAATGGGACTTGACTCTCATCAGATAAAACTATTACGCACAATAGACCAAAGACAACTTTTCAGGATAAAATAGGAAACACTATTTACCAAGTTGATAAAATAGTAAAAGAAAAATATCTGATAACAGCAAAACAAAGAATTTGTACATAAAATGTGTCAAATTATTTTACGAAACAAAAACAAAGGAACAGAGGAACAAAATAATCCAGGAAATTTTAACTTTTTTCACAGGTGGTCAAACACAGAAAATTGGAAGAACACGAAGTACAATCCTGGAATGTACAAATTACTCAATTAAAAAAAATACAAAAATGTGTAAGCTGTAAACTAATTACTAAAAGAATTATGTACTTACTCTAGAATCTTCAGCTAACATTGCATTCATATCTTGATCCGAAATAGCCGGCATCATTTTAATATCTGAATAATATCGTTCTACCCATTCTTTGTAGCAAGGAATATCTTTAGCGTATAAAAGTTTTGAACTTGGTGAATCTTTACCTGTAAAAATTTTATGATAAAGTCATATTTCAACGTATACGCGAAAACGAACCTAATCTATGATCAGAGGTGGAACAGGAATCCATAAATGTTTGAGCAACCACAGATAAACAAGAGTCTACAATATTTGACTTATGGATGTCAAATACAAAATTTGGGTTCTTAATTAAATTCACCCAAAATCTAAGCGGAAGTGAATTACTCTTCCACGTGTGTACCACTTCAGGATCAGATATCCCATGTTGTAACGCTTGATCGTCTAGAAAATCAAACATGTACTTTATGGCAAGCGGTAATGCTGATCCTCTATGAGCTGTACTAAAAATAGTCTCAAATAAATCATCTACAAATTTTTGAAGAGTACCCTTCGTAGCTAACAGCCTCGTTAAGTATATTTCTGAAACCATTTTATTACCCCTCTCCCCCTCCTTTTGATTATCATTATCGTGGTGTTTGACAAGATGCCAAACTTTGTAGCCCTGTTCGTGTTCGTGATTCAAAGGGCTCGTTGCTCGACTTAAAGGTGGGCTTACCGAGCTAAATTTACTGAGATTGAGTGTCTCGTACTTGTGAGATTTATCGTTTTTTTCTGAAAAAATGCTTAAATTATAAATGGAGCTTTGTTTGGACACTAGGTTGAGACATCCACCATCAGGTACTCTATAATGTTGTAATGTATTTCGCCTCTTCCAGTCTCCTTCTATTTTCGTGGTACTATCTTCATCATAGAGAATCAGTCTACCTGATGTGCCAGTTCGCCATTCTGAAACAGTGTATACATAATTATGGCACACCTCAAGAGAAATACTATTATAAAATTACTTCATATATTTTTCAAATTCATGGCACACAAAGTATAGCCGGTTGGCTATTCCTAGATTAGATGCAGATACGAGAAAGGAGAACTTTTTACAGTTTTTATACAGGGTGTAACTTTAAGTGGGGGCAGTTTTTTATGGGCATGTTTTCCTGAATCCCAGTAAATGAAACAAAATTTGTAAAAAAATTTGTTTCGATTGAAACTTGGTTTAATCGTTAGTTTATGCAAAAAGAAATAATATTTCCCAAAAAGTGTCGGTTTAAAACAACAATGTAAAAATTACCAAAAAATGGAGTTTTTTTAGCTGTATTAAAAAGTGCTCTCCAACAGGAGTTATTGCTTTTGTTTATACTTATAGGTTTTCAAAAATCGCTTCATTTGAGATCTGCTAAATTAAAATCCATTAACAGTTTGGTGAAATAATTGCAAAAAAACCAGCGAAATTTGAATTTGTTATAAATAGAAGAAAAAAGCAATTTTCTCTAAACTGCAGTAAAAGTTGTATTTTGTTACGCTTAAGAAGCCCTGAAAATTTGGTATAAAAATAAATATTTATTTGTTCACGAGTTTTTGTAATTGTTTATTAGAAATAGCATTTTTTCAATTGCAAAAACGCGGTTGTTATCGGTATGTACATATGTTACTAATTGTAAATAAAACTTATTTGTGTTTTAAAATAATTATTTTTGCTGTTTCAAAAAACTAACAATATAAAATAAATGAAAAACTAATCTGATATGAAAACAATTTTTTTAATGTTTCAAGTTTTTACAAATATTTATGTGTTACTGTTTTTTTAAGCAGCGTATATTTTACTTTTGAATGTCAGTGTCAATGACCTATAACACTGACCTAGTTTTACTGTTACATACAAGTGATGCCTACGAGGGGGGGGGGAACGGAGCTGCTTACATTTTGCAGGTGTTCTAATGTGACGAGTAAATGCAAACTGACAAATTAATTTGGCAGAACAGGACCGGCCGAATATGTTCTTATTCTACTGACAGTATCGTTTTGTGAAAAGCTGTTTTTTTTTGCTTTTTTATAATCTTTTCTTTAAATCATGAGATTTGACAACGATGCATAGCCCAGTTGTCAATTGTACATGCGCTGCGGCTCTGTGTATAAATATGACCCCCACTTAAAGTTACACCCTGTAGCAAACATCTGGTGTGACGTCAGTAGCCTGGGGTAATTCGGTAACAACACGATGTATAATGGAGCCATAACCAACCCGAAAACTTTTTTTTGGAGAAACAACTATCTCGAAAACTATTTACAAATTATTCAACAAACATTTTTACAATTTTTAATTGTTTCCGACTTACATAACAATATGTTATTGCTCTTAGTATTCAAATGTATTTAACAAAAATAATAAGGAATGGCAGTGGAGGCTAGCCCTTTATGTTCTATTAAAAAGTCACATAGATTTACAGTAGAATAGAGGTACCTGTTAAATAGAAACTATTTTAGGATGTTTATGGAAATGGTAAGAATAATCTAATCCTCATTGTTCGGTGACAAAAATGACCAAATTCCATCTAAAAACTCTTGAGAGTTGAACGACCTAAATAAGACAGATTAAAAGGCAGGACAATGTTGCCATATCTAGTTCCAAAATTTTTCATTTAGGTAGGAGTGTGTTATACCATTTATTTCGTGTTATATTTATGAACTGCGTTTAACTGATTTTTAGAAAAGGTAAGTTTCATATTTAGTTTGTTTTGTATTTATATGAAAATTATTACAACAATATAACTAATAATCTATAATTTTTTAACCAAAATAAAGTTAAGAAACAATACATACATTAATTCTACTACTAAATAGTTATATCTTCATGAATTAAAACTCACCGAGGTCCAGATCATCTTTTCGTGGTCTTTGAGAATATGGTGTTGCTCTATAGATAGTATCCAAAGATTTTTCTTTAACTTGACTAATTGTATCACAATCTAAAACTTTCACAGGAACATTATCTGTGTTGTGGTCCAAGCTTCCCACAATCGTTTGTTGAGATATAGAGACATAAACAGTCTGCAATTTAAAATATTTGTTTATAATCAGTTTCTTAAAAAGTAAAATTACGAAATAGATACTATCGGTAAAAATAGTGAGGTTCTGTTAATAAATTTATCTCAAAATTCGTCTATCTTCGTTCTAGTTACACGTCTAAAAAAATCAATTTTAGTTCTGTCCCAAATTACTGACGGTGAATTAAAAACTTATTTTCCATAAATTTATATTATGCAAACTAAATTATTTATATTTTGGAACTATCGAAGTGGGCTATTTTTGTGTAAAAATAATCTTGCATAATTTTCAGATTTTATTTTCTTGGATGCCCTGTATATGCAAACAGAAATTTCTCTTTCATAAAATAAAGTATTAAAATGTAAACATGGCTTTTTACTATTAGAATAACAAATGTTGGGGAGGTATTCGGTGAAACAGGAGAGTGCAAAACTTTGACGGGTAGTTTTCCACTTACAATTTGTGGATGATGCACGATTTTATTCTCAATGAAATAAATGAAAAAAATGTGTGCGTTATTATATAAAATAAATCACTATTTTATTAAAATTAACAGATTTAAAATCTGTGTTCGGTGCCTATCTTAGAGATGCTTTATCATTACAGGAAACAAGAGAAATAATGAATATCAAATATGCTGTGCATTGTCGAAGATAACTGACAGTCTATACATGGTTCTGCATTCTCAGTAAAGCGCATCTCCCACTGTATTGCTCTTGCAACTATCTATCTTTATTAGACCACTGATACTATTTGTGGTGCAGTTCCAGCAGCTCATTATTCTAGAAATTATTGTGTTAAGTGTTGAATTCGTGTTTTTTATTTAACATATTCAAAGGAAATTTTAAATTATTTTTTAAACAGTAAAACTCCTGTTAAATATCCTTATCTCTGCCTAATATTAACATACAGTTGGCCAATTCTAGTCAAAGAATAATTCAATTTATAAATGTAATAATAGTCCCTTTGTTTTTTTGCATATTAAGACGGGAAAAAAACCGTATTACAAGGTTATCAAGTGCAATTAATACCTAATTCGCTTGCAGATTTGTTGCTTTCAAAGATATTAGGAAAGCACAAAAAACGCTGGAATTATCTTTTTATAAAGAATTAGTTTTTTTTAAATACCTACTATGTGTTTTTCATTATACGGGGTATAGCAAAAGTACCGGAACGGCAGAATAACTCGGCGGGAGAGCATTTCAGAGAAAAATGTTAAATACAAAAGTTTCAGGATTTCTCCCTGGCTATTCCTTCCTTGGTGACCTTGACCTTGAAGATTATTTCAAGGTCGAATGTTGTTTTTCAAATGGGACCCAATACTTTTGACTCCAGAAATGAAAACAGCGGAAAATTTTACATTCAGACATGATCTTGAGTGACCCCTCCCCTTTGACCTTGGGGCCCCCACAAGGTCAAACTAACAAAAGTACAGGAACGACAGAATAACTCGGCGGAGAGCATTTTAGAGAAAAATGTTGACCTTAAAATGATCAAGGTCACGGTCAATGTCAAGGTCATCATCGGATAGTCAGGCAGAAATCCTGACACTTTTGTATTTAACATTTTTCTGCGAATTATTTGTTGAAGGCTTTCAAAAGTTTTTTTAATCTAGTTTTTGTACAATTGTGCAAAACTGAGAGAGGATGGTAGTTAGAAAGGTAAGAAGACAAACTGACAAGGAGGCAGATAGACAGATAGATTTAGTCAAACAGGAAGATAGGCAAAATTACTGGCAGAAAGGCAGGATGTCAGGTAGATGGACAGAAAAAATACAGGCGGACGATAAATACAGACTAACAAGCAAATGAACAGGTGTGCAGGTAAAAAGGCAGACAAATAAACAGAAAAAAGTAGGCGTGTGAGCATTCGCAAAAATTTTCTCCAATTTTTTTCAGCTCCTTATTTTAACCTTCAAAAGACCTTGAACATGAGGCGATAGAGATCAACTGACATTGGATTCAGATCCATGGACCCAAAAAACCTATGTATGAATTTTTCTGTTTGACATTCAAATGACCTTGAACCTGAAGTGAGAGCTTAACCGACCTCCGTATCGGAATCAGCGAATCCCTGGGTACCTTGGTAAAGTCCGGTGTTTTTTGTCCTAAATTTAGTCGAAAATGTGTGCTCAACCCATTTTGAGATTTCAAGGTAGATGACCCCTATTTGAAATTTTTATTTCACAATTTTTTTAATATGAATGTTCTCAATATAGGCCTAGATATCATACCCCAAAAAATGGTATGAGTCTCATACTTCATTGTCGAATTATAACCATTCTAATTTTCACCAACCACCACTGACTAATTTATAATTTATTAACAGTTCTGTAAATGTAATTACTTACCATGGGCTTAAAATCTATTGATTGTCTTATAAGTTTTTCTTCGCTGAGAGAATATCTGGCCTCCGATGTAATGGAGTCCACTGGTCCTTTATCAACTTGTTGCTTAACGGCTCTAAATAACATAAATAGTGGCTCGCCGGCACACTCCCTTAAGAATTTGTACAGAAGGAATGTAAACCAAGCGCTAAGCATTTTTTCTGCAACACTTTCCGTTCTTCTTAGGAGCAACTTCGGGTGACTTTTACTCTCCATACATTTTTCTATTAATTCAGCTAATAAAGTTTTAAGAATATCCGTACAATATTCCATTTTACTTTGTAATGTGACCATTATTAGACTGGCCACATTCACTCTGTCTCTCATTGAAAAATACCTATTGCTTTCTAACGTTCTAATAAAGAGAAGTAAAAATGTTTTGTTCATGATCAACTGACCAAATAATCGTAGCCCTTTTTCTTTGCAAAGCAATTCGGGTCTTTCCCACTGCAAAACAATATGATCGTCTACGTTCGGAAACAATATTTTCATAGCGTATGTCCTGTAATCCAAGAACGGAATACCACCAGAAGTTAAGTCTCCAGTAAGGTCCGTCATCTCAGTCTGAAGTTCCGCGAAAGCTTCTTTACATTCAGCCGCCACGCGAAGTTCTAATATATCCATCTGCTCCTGCATATTTTTCAAAACACGATTGCTCTCAGTAGATTTCCTCCGGTATGCAATTAAGAATAATATAAAAACGACAAAAATAACCACTCCTAGACCGATTATCCCGTACAACGTTGGTTTCGTAATCGGACCATTAAGTCCTTGCGGGGAAGAGTAAGAGAGTACACCGATATTATATCTCAACGAACCGCCTACTATTACGATAACTTCGGGCAAAGCCTCCCCATTGGGTAAACCTTGGTCGTTAACGGCTTGAGGTTGTGTTTCCGGCGGACGGCACGTCAACTGCTGTCGCGATAAAGAAGTGACATTACAAGAACTTTTACCAATTCTTACTTCAACGTCGGACTCTTGACAGGCCCGGTCGATGTTCTGACCCTAAAATAATTTATTACCAGAATGATTTACCTGAAAACCAAGGTTGGCATAATATATATCATTGATATCTATCACGATATTTATTCCTTGATATATATCATGATATTTATAAAAATTTAAATAATGATTCCTACTGGTTTAAAATTGCTAAAACAGATGGCAGCAAAACCATATGCTAATCGTTGACGAACGTTTATTTATGTGATTCCCCGAATTTTTCAATAAATTAAAATTGAAGGAATATTTTTATTTCATTATTTCTCCAGGTGTTAGTCAACTCGAGCAGGTGCTGTGTGTTTGTATTTCTTTTAATAATTTATGTTGACTTTGCTGTAAATTGGTTAGTTTTCGTAGTACCTAATATTCACGCAAATATTTTCAGAATTTTTTCGTTCTTGTTTTTTATATTTGGAATAAAAATATTTACCTAAATAGTTTCTTAATTTTATTTCGCTACTATAATATTATAAACTAATTAATTAAAAAAAATAAATATCAACTTGATATATATGGGAAATATATCAAGATATTTGATATTTATATAAATATCATGATATTTGCCAACCTTGCTGAAAACATATCTATTGTACTTACGTTAATATTAAGATAATCCGATTTGTAATATTTCACTTCTTTTTCGAACGGTATAAATGTGGGGTTCGGGAAAAGAAGAAAAGGATTGAAGTCCTTGTTGAGTGTTAAATTCTGTACTCCTGTTACGTTGTCCATCCTAAACCCATACTCTAATTTTAACGGATTATCGGCATCCAAGTTAACTTCTTCGGCAGCATCAATGACAGGGCTATTGCATATCATACTAGTGTTACTGAGAACAGTACATTCCTACACATTAAAACTTATTAGGTACAAAAATATATGTATTTTTTAAATTTACTTACACTAATAAACATTTTATTTTCATAAAAAACATACATCTGGGGTTTCTGAATATAGGCTAAATTTTTTCCTGTTACCGATATTTTTATACCACCAGCTGGAATACCCTTAGGAACTTTAATTTGACTCGCAACACCTGACTCCGCCGATTCAATAACTGGATCTTCTACATACTCAAATTTTATGTTCTCCAAAAATCTATCACCTTTATCAAATTTCATTTTTAACTCCCTTTTCGAGGTTGTTTCAGATGCACTTGTTATACATAAAGCTTGGTTTTGATCAGTCCTTAAAATAAATGCAGTTAAGTGTACACTAGTACATATACAGGGTGTTTCAAAAAGGTGTTGCCAAACTTGAAGGGGATATAGAGACAAGCGTCTAGATCTCGGCTTTGTATTTTAGAACAAACCAATTACAAACAAGTTTTCTATCAACCAATCGCGTTAACGCAGAGTGAAGAATTCGTGGCAAATTTTCAAAGCCCTGGAGCAATTTTTGTACAAAAAAGTAATGAAACCCAAAAAAATCATTTGAAACAAAATAAACACATTTATCTCTTCTGATAAGTGTTTACCAACTGCATGTCCTGCACATGTTAGTAAAAATTGATTTTATCCCCAACTGTGTGATAAAAGCTCTATTGTACGCATCTAATCTAGCCATGCAATATCATCTGTGTCACGCTGTGAGCAATAGTGAAACAAATGAACAGAGCTGTCATGTAATAAATGATCGGACCTAATTGAGTGTTTCACATTTATTTTGTTTGCGACAAAATCTTGCTCCCAAGTTGTTCAAGTGCACCAATTTACGTTCGATGAGTATGCATCTTATTTATGGCGAAGCAAGATGCGATGCTAGAGAAGCTCAACGTTTTCCGAATCACCGACGTGCTTTTCAAAAAATTATTATAAATTTACTATTTTTGCGTTTTTGCGACAAAAATTGCTCCAGGTCCAAAACTGCTTATATCTGACTAGAGGTTTATATGCAAAAATTTTCTTCCGCAATGTCCTCTCAAGTTTGGCAACACCTTTTTGAAACATCCTGTATGTAAAATTCAAAAAAATATTTTCAATTCCTATACCTGTCATGATGTGTCATTTAGTTAAGTACTATATTTCGTATATGTTATGTTAAAATGTTATTAAAAAAAAAATAGTTTTCTTTTATATAAAAAAATAACAGTACTTTCAAATAAACAGACTAAATAATATTTCAAGACAAATAGAAGTAGCAGTAGATATAGATAAAATTTAGAACAGACATGAATGTAAGATTTAGATATGTATTTATACTTTGGTGTAAAAAGCTGTCATTCTTTAGATATACCAGGGGGGGGGACCAAAAATAACCGGAGGAAACCCGCTGCGCGCGCCGCTCTTGTAGTTCGGGCTTCTCCCGCTTGATATGTTGTTTACAGATTATAAAAAACATGCCTTCCATTCAATCGCGGCGACAAGTCGATCGAAGACATTCAACGCCCGGGTCGGCCTTCTACGTCCGAAACTCATGAAACCGTGGAAAAAATTCGCGCGCTTATGTAGTCTTTCCGATCTCAATTGAAGACCAAAGAGCTAGGCAGTATGTACCAGGTCCAGTCGCAACGTAGCAACTTTGAATTGAAATATTTGAAAAACTTGTTCCCATATTTATTTAGCCATGCTCATATACAGGTCTGGTCGAACTAAACGTGCAGGTGGTAGAAATGTATACGACCAGTTGAAGAATGCGCGAGCAGGCAAACGCCGCACAAAACAGCCACACTGGGCGACAGGTCATAAATTTCAGTTGTTAAGTTGCCTAACAGTACAGTGCAGTGCAGCAATGCGGAATTATTTTACTGTTGATTATTTCTATTTAATACACTTTCTAACCTAAACTAGCAACTTTTCTTCATCCTTTCCTGGCAATGATATGTTCATACCTTCCTGTTGATTCTCGGCGAGAATGTTTTAATGAAAATATAAACGTTTAGGAATGGGAAATTTTCTTGCCCCTGTATGTACAAGATATAGTTAGACAAAAAATTACAAGATAAATGCCTTAATGAAATAGATTTAACTCCACTGTTTTTAAACTAATATATACACGATATTATCACAACTACACATAAAGACAATGTTAATAGAAGCATTAAATAAACACACATCATTTTTAGCTAATAAAAAACTATAATGAAATTAAAACAAACTGATATTAGGAACTCATGTACTCAAAGCAGTTTCTAAATTATTACTCAAATATTTGAGACAAACCTCATAATTTATTTAGGCTGTATTCAGCGAATTGTCCGACTAGTTCGGTCAAACTTCTTTAGTCAAACAATTCGCTGAATGGTCTTTAGTAACTGTATTAAAACCTGCCCGATATTCCCAATCAGCTGATTGGGCTGACCAACAAAATATTTGTCCCCTGTACGACTTTGACCGGTCCGACCATTCGCTGAACACAGCCTTAATGAAGATTATCATCAGTCCACTAGTTTTCAAATATATTAAACAAATATCAACTAAAAACGAGCTCAATAAAATACAAATACGTAATATTATAAAAGCAAGAATCAGTGTGATTAAAACACAATATATATATATATATCGCTATAAACAAGTGGGCAACATTCGACATGTGACATCTAGAAATATGAATTTAAACAAAAGTTGTAGTTTAAGTAAGTACCTGTTTATTTCATATTTTAAGTAGGAGATAATTATTACGTCAAGCAGGATAACATTCATTATTCAATAAACCTAATAATAATGTGCTCATATATGTAGACAGAGAAATTTATTACATTCATATCTCAAATATCTAATATTTCTACATAATTGGAATAAATGAATACTTATACATTCAATACATAAAAAATTATGTAGTTTAGTTGGAAGTGAGTATGTACTTAGTTTTTACTAGAAGTACAAGAATGTGCATTAAAGAGTAAATGAATTGATCAAATGAAACATAAATTTATTTATTTATTCATTTAAGACACACATCAAACAGTAAGTGTCCAATAATAGGGTATGGTAAGTCTATAATTAAAATTTAAAAAATGCAAAAAATAGAAAATATGAATGGAAAAAAACTACAAATATGAAATAATATAAATAAAAAGAAAAATGAAATAATATTAATAAAAAGAAAAACCAACAAACTATAGAATGAAACAAATATATAAGTATAATTTTCTATATACTTGAAGATATTTTGATATAATAGTGATGCTACAAGAATGTTAGCGTGCGCTGTGGTTATATTATTGGGAGTATTATTTTGATGCAAATGTTTTTTAATACACCTGGACAGTCTTACGATATTATGGAGAACTTTATACAAAAATATTACTTGAGAAACAGATCTTTTAGATAAGCCATGAATATTGAAACACTAAAGTGCAAAACCTTGAGGGGAATATATACAGGGTGGTTGATTTTCGATAGTTTTATAGGGTACAGTCAAAACGGTGATAGATACAAAAAATCTGATAACGATGTCCCATCCTCTTCTTTTGAGTTTAATTCGCTGGTACCAAAAGATCTTTAGTTTTAGATATACAGGGTTTTTTTTGAAAAATCGCCCATTTACATTAGCTCTCCATCTCCGTTGTCATTAATACAAGAAAAAAGTTTGTCCATCATTTGTTCTATTTTTTATGTGGAAGCCATTGGCTTACAGTTTTTCCGATACCAGATAAACATAAGTTTTTTTTAATAGAACACCCTGTATTTGGCCATCCCGTTGAGCAATTTTTTTTACCTTTTCAGCCATATATAATAATATATACTTTTTATTTGCCTAAATGAAGAAAAATGTAAAAAATGTATATGTATTTCTTCAGTTGGCCATGGATTTATTTAGTATTCGTCTTTTGTGGTTTGATATTGATAGTTAATTTATTTTTGACTGATTGAAAGCTTGTTGAAGGACTATTACTTGGTTTTATAAATTTTGAAAGGTGTTCTATTTAAAAAAATACTTATGTTTATGTAATTTTGGAAAAAGTGTGCGATTTGTAAAAAAATCTGAGTACACCAATGGTTTCCTCATAAAAAATATAACAAAAATAATGTTCAAACTTTTTTCTTCTAAATTTAATGTGTGATTTTCGAAGTTGCAATTTGATTGGCATAAACTGAGCTCCAGAGTACTGATGCTTTTAATTTAGAACGATTAAGTATAATGTATACCAATCATAGTGCAGACATTGACATTTTTTGGAAATTTTTATGATGTAACCCAATTTCTTGAATGCAGATGCTATAATGTTCTGTTTGTAAAATATGGTCGTTAAATTCATTTTTAAAGAAGGCCACTTGAAATAAATTGTTGGCTATTGTCCAAAGTGATGTTAGTTATTCGAAACATGAGTAGGAGGTAATTTCTTTGAAGGTCTCCAACATTTTAATTATTAATGCCTCAGTTGTTTTTTTTTTTTCAAAGTTAAGTTTCTATATTATCTTTTCCACTACAAAAAATACTGTAAGAAAGTTATTGAAGTATTTAGAGTCCACACTTAGATGCTGAATACAAAGGTTAGTAAAAATTGCCGTTGTGTGAAAAACATTTGCTATCTCTGAAATAGAGATTGTAGGCTGTAGTTTGTGCGTTTTTTCTTCTCTTTCAAAAATCGGGGCTAGGAGTATTCATCGGTTTTCTGATAATTCTTATATTTTTTGAGATAACCCTAAATCCTATCGAATTTGTTTCATATTTATGGACTACAACTAAATAGATACGACTGTGACAAAAATATTTTTTGAAGGCAGATAGGGACAACAAACTACTACAATAACACCAAGATATTTGCTTTGTTTTGCAACATCAGATAGGCCGTGTCTGGGAAAGTACAATAAACTAACGTTTTTTAACCACAAAGAATCCTTCTTTGTTTCTACAACATTCATGTTAAGGCGAAAAAAATAAATAAATAATAATCATGGTTTGTGGTTAATAATTAGACGATGAGATCACACAAAAACAACTATATTACTCTTTGTACACATTTACATACAGTGTGTCCACGGATTGAGTGCACGTAGGGTGTAAATTACAAACATTTTTTGAGTTGAAATTTGAGCTACTGGGCTTCATCTCTGCTTGGCCTTAAAATAAGAAGTTGAAAAAACTAGTTCAATTAATTAATGTACAGGGTGTTTTTACCTTTGTTTTTAAAAATATCAAAAATATTTACTTAAGAAAGTTATTGATAACTGAAAGTTACCATTATATTATTTGTATATTTATGTTTATTATATTAGTTAAATTTTTTTCTCTAATAAATAATTAGGAATTTGTACTTTGTTGTTAAAAATAAAAAAAACAGACTTGGCCGATCAAATTGAAAATTGACAATCTGTGAAAACTTTTAGTTCTGAATAACATTCTTAAGTAAATATTTTTGATATTTTTAAAAACAAAGGTACTTTACTCAGGACAATTTTTGAAAATTCATCGTAAAAACACCTAATTGGACTTATTTTTTGAACTCCTTAGTTTAAGGCCAAGCAGAGATGATGCCCAGAAGCTCAAATTTCAACTCGAAAATTTTTTGTCATTGTGGACACACTGTATAAATAAGACTTATACTAATGAACTCTCAATACCAAGATATCGATATTTATGGATGAAATTATGTTATATAGACTAACCACAAATATACTACCTAAAATTATTTATTTATAGAATTGTTTAATTTTAGATAATAAGACAATAAAAAAAATTGAACAAACTTGCATCAGTAAGCTTAAAAGTCACTTTCTTCTAATGTGGACTGTACAGAGTTACTCACATAACATTCGACTTCACCTATCTCTGTCGCTTTCATATTAGAAAAAATATATATATAGGCCAAAGCTGTAGGTGTAGGATATAATCATGTAACTTCAAAATTGTACTTAGACAAACAATTTAACGTTTCATTTCACATATATTTATTATTGTGTTTTCTTTGAATAGGACACAGTGCATATTTGGAAAGTACGTTTTCCCAGGATTACAATGATATAAACTCCGACAGATCTATCTCTAACACTAAGGAAGATATGGCCAAAAATAAACTCGTGAGGGTGTTTTGATCAGATCTTTCTTATTCGTTCGCTTACATGTGCCACTATGGCCTTTGATAAATGTGACGTAAAACTTAAAAAACCTGAGTGAAGGTTTACGGATGGCAAATGAATTTTTTGATTTCTTCGTAAAAATTGATTCGTCTATGGAAAGAAGTCTTGTTTTTAAGAATAGAAGCAAATTGATAATGCCACAGCTGAATATCAATTCGAATTAAAAGGCCTTTTAATAGCTGCAAAACAAGAAAAAATCGAAAGTTCTTTAAACCATTGCCTAAACCTGATCATAATAATTAATATTGTTAAAATTTATCTCATTAAATTACTTTTACTATGTATTTTTTTATTATTTTGCAACATACAAAATGCCACTCCGAATGCGCGGATTCCGTATTCGCGGTACATTTTCGGAACGCATCCCCCGCGAATAAGGAGCTTTGATTCTCAGATATAAATTGCATTATGCTTGACAAATTAGTAACTGTTAACTTCTACATAAACCCATGCTGAAATGGGGAAGTTACATTTTTTATTATTGTTTTTCTACATTCAGTTTTCATCAGAAAAATTGCCCTGCAAGTTTAGTCCACATAATTTTTTAATTCAAATGAAAACAAAAGTAAAAAAAAGTAAAATGTTAAATAGAATGTGACGTGAGTGTACGTGTAAATTGTGTTAATCAAAGGACCCTGCACTTTTATGAAAAAGTGGTTTCACTTAAATTGGCTGAAATTTTTTTATGTTAGCACAATATCCAAAAGTTCATAGTTTTCGACCTACATTGACCTCAGATCAATAACTCTGTATTCGAAGGGGTAAAAATGTTACTTAATATTTTTTGCCGTTTGCATTTGCATTACCCATGGTGCACCACGTGGAGGTTGCAAAATCGTCCAACACCTCTGGGGTGACTTTTCTACCATGATCCAAAAATATTTGTACAGGGTGGTTCGCTATACTTTGACCCCCCCTTTAACTTTTTTGTTTTAAGACATAAAAAAATTGAAATACAAAAGTTGCATGACTTTTTATGAAGTTTTCGAAAATGGTAGTAGGAAAACAAATGAAGTCCAAACAAAATGGCCGCGGATGTTAACTTTGTTAATTTAAATGGAACACCTCGTATATTTTTACATACAAAAAAGCTTTTTTGTTTTTTTTTAATATTATCTCACTTATTGTTAGAGATGGACCCTATATGACTATGCTCGATAGGAAACGTTTTATCCAAATATGTAAAAATATACAGGGTTCCATTTAAATTAACGAATTTAACATCCGCGGCGATTTTGTTTGGACTTCATTTGTTTTTCTACTATCATTTTTGAAAACTTCATAAAAAATCATGCAACTTTTGTATTTCACATTTTTTTACAACTGTTAAAACAAAAAAGTTAATTGGGAGGGGGGGGTCAAAATATAGTAAATCGCCCTGGTGGAGTTTAGCCCTGAATCTTGATTTGGTCATTGCCTGCATTAATATGTGACGGATACATACGCATAAAGGAATTAATAAAATATTTAATTTTTTATTACAATTTATAGAATTTATGCCATCAACTAGAATAGTTTAACGGAAATCTGCAGTCAAAAGAACTACTCGCAGTTTCGAAGACGGAGTTATTGCCCTAAAGTCAACGTAACTCGAAAACTATGAACTTTTGGATATTGCTCCAATGGAGACTTTTGATCGGCAGGTTGAGAGAGCCTGTAACATATAAAAATTTCAGCCAATTTAACTGAAACCACTTTTCATAAGAAATGTTTCGTTGCTGTAAATAGGAAGCAATTTGTTTTCTTTTTCTACTAGTTTCAGTTATTATGTCATCGAGAAAAATGAAATATGTCAATCATTGGAAAAAAATTGGCTGCTTATTGTTTGTCCTCAATTTACCACGATGACTAGAAAGAAAATTTACTGATGTTTTCATTTTTTCCCAAAAGTTATGATGTTATTTATTAAGAGTTTTATGCAGCCAATTACTTTTATTTTTCTTTTCCCCTGATGATGGCATAATAGCCGAAACTAGTAGGAAGGGAAAATAAATGTGTAAACTAATTTAAAATCTAATTTACCCCATCAATTTGGAGAGTTATTAATTTTTATACTTTGAATTTTGATGAACGATTATAATAAGCACAAAAACTTTATGGACTATCTCAAATTTATATTCAAAATAGCACAAATTAAATTTAAAGTGAAGAACACAAGTTAAATACATATTTTTTCAATAAAACTATTTCTATTTCTATTAATCTTAACCAAATGACACTACAGTATATTCGACTTTACAAACATTAACTGACAGTATTATAATAAGTATTATTTCATAATTCTGTTAATTATTTTTATAATCAAATACTTACGAGAGTATTCTGCATGGAAGATCATCAAGAAATGCCTGGATATTACTTCCGGCATTCATATATTCCCCGGTAATTTGCAGCATGGTGCCTCCAGATTTCGGTCCATATCTGGGCGAAATACCAGTTATGTTAGGATTGACAAATCTGTAATGAGTTTTAGATTCCCCGCGGTAATCTTCGACTTTAACCGTCACGGGACCCTGACGAAATTCTTTTGTACCAGGCCCGTCGACCTTAAAAAGAGAAAACGGAATATACTCATTGAATTATTAAACGCACTAGATATACCTGACAAACGATTTGCTTGGTTTTAATGTAAAGGTGTTCGTACGGTTGACAATTAATTCCAGCTATACTTATGCCGGAATAAATATCTTGAAAATTTTTCCCCAAATTAATTCCTTGTATTGTAATATTCGTACCACCTTCCCACGGTCCCAATTCCGGACTGAAGGAAGTTATTTCCGGATTCGGACAAGTTTGACTTCTATTTAACCACACGGCTGAACCTTTCTCGCATTGATCCTGTACTTCACAACGATCGGAACTTTGACACCATCCACAATCGTATTTCTCCGCTAAGGCTAAGCAAATACCACAGTTGTCTGCCATGTCACGACATCGATATATCACAACTGAAAATGTCGGTCTTAAAGAAACGTGTTATATTAGAGGACGAGTTGCTTACTATGAATATTGTCTGGGTTATCTAATGGTTTCGAACCGCCCCAAATCACAGCAAAAGTGGCTGTAATGTTAGGGGCCCGGGAGGTATATGAAAATTCCATAGCATCACAATAAATCGTATCACCAAGCAGCTGAGCGTTTACACTTGTTACGCGACCTTCAATGTTAAACTGGCACACGAATCTAGTCTGGACGATAAATTGCCCTATTATGTGAACTTTAACCCTGATGGGTTTCTTTATTCCGGACGCTACTAGTATCTCTGGTGAGTTTCCCACGGTTGCGTTAATTGTTGGACAAAAAGCAGGACCTGATCTGTAACTGGGTCCGGCCCTCTACAATTTTTTTAATTAACGAAAATATAATCCATTTATTCATTACTTACACTAACGCCAGTCACTAGAATATCGTTCCTACAATTTTCTGCAGTATCGTGTGTGCATCTGTGTCCGTCTACACACCAGTCGCAAGGAAACGAGGAAGAGACACATTGGGTACAAGAACTGTATGTGTTGCAATCGAAAAAAGTGAAATTTGTCGCAACGAAATCCGGTCCAGACGTCATTCTTACCGATAATTTGGCAGTGAAATGATCTAGAATGTAAAGAATAATTAAAAACGAAATTTTAATTATTTCCGATAATCTTACGCTGTCCTGGCGGGATAGAAGGTAAAGTGTCGGTCCTCGGCGTGGTGCAATTCACTCCTGAACCCTTCCTCGTGGCGTTGGTGATTAAAGTTTTATCCAGTGCCGTAAAAGCACATAAAAAATGTCCTTGTAGAGTTGGCAAATTGTCGATTACGAGATCCAACTAAAAAAATACGATTATAGACGTCAATAAGAAAACTAACTTATAAAACTACCGTTCTTGCAGTGGTCCTTTGTAACTGATTAGGAATTACCGAAGTTATTGTTGTACACCTTCCGCTTTTGTAACTAATCCAATATAAGGGATCTTTAGCGGCATCTTGGCAATCTGCTCGTAAACTACATCTAAAATAATTAAAAAAAAGTTTAACAGATGTACACATTTTTGTAATAAAAGTAATAAAGTAGGGGTTTGCAAGGAATTTTTAAAATTTTAATAGTATTTGAAATTAATATAATAAAAATTCAATTTTATTTATAACAACAATGGTGGTCATGATGAACACATAATTCTCGATAATGTTTTGAATTGAATATCATTTTTTGTTTTTTTCATTATTAATAGCATCTTCTATCCATAGACATTTTTATCTTACTGTGTGCTATGGTCACTATACTACTGCTTTTATTATCTATTAAAAAAAAGATCTGCTCTAACATTTAATGTTAATAAAGGGAGACCTTACAAATATCTGTAGTTCGAAGAGAACAACTGAAGGAAAAAATATACAGTGAAATTCTGGAAATCATCAAAACATTAAAAGTAAGGATCTTGTAAATAAATTTTTTCTGTTTTAAAATTCTTTCCAAGTATAATGCAACTATTATATTTAAATAAAACAATAATTTTTAAAAAATCATGTATGGTTATGTTTTACAGTTGCCAGAAGTCATATATAGTATAATGTCCCAGAAATCATTGTTGTAGTAGTGGTTTACTTCAATATTATTCATCAGTTAGATATATCTGACGTTCGTCATAAAACAGTATTAATGGTAGATATGAGTATTGTTTAAACATTATCTTTTAAGTTACTCAAACTGAAAGGGATTTGATTCAAGAGAAGTATGTAGGTCAATTTGGAAATGAGCTCTTTGAAGAAGAAAGATGTAAGAGGCTATCCATATCGTTATTTGGGAAAGTAATTCAAAGGAAGGCCCATGCACCTTGTCAAAACTTAGTAAAGTCCTGTTTCTTTCGGTCTGAAGCAACAAAATATGGAATTACAAAAGAAAAGGTAGCATTATCTACAGGGTGTGCCATTTAACACTCCTGCTGCCAATATCTCCGAAATGAAGAAATTTATTTTAGTTTTGGAAACTGGGGTTGTTAGGTCCCTCGAATTGCAGTTAGAATTGTTGGTTCAAATCTTTCCGTATAGATGGCGTGGCGGTACTAAAAATTTTTTTGATTCCTGGAACGTGGAAATGAAGTCCATCTGAAAGATCATTAAATTTTGAGTAATTTTTGTAATATAAAGTTTTTCCCAATATTTACTTGTTTTAGAGATATGTCGACTTCAATATGCAATGTACGATATCATTTTATTTAAATCACCGAGACAAAATATTCTTGAAAAATATTGTTATAATGGCTTTATTCACACCACATACTAGTTATTAGGTGGCCGGCTCGTTCACCAAATTTGACCCGATTGGATTTTTTTCTATAGTCATTTAAAAAACACTGTATATCAGAATCCTATAGAAGACAATAGCAGATTTGTATAATAAAATTTATGCAGTTACGGCGGCTTTAGATCGTAACACTTTATTAAGAGCCTGTAATGTCGAACTAACGAGAAGACTAACATTGTGTATTAATGCTGATGTCGTAATTTTGAACATTTATTTTCACTTACTTCAGTAACTACTTCTACACCTCAATTATTATTTTAAATTTAATTTATTTTTTTATATTTTATTGTTTGTTAGTTAGTATGTGGTGTGAATAAAGCCATTACCAATATTTCAAAAGAATATTTTGTCTCAGTGTGATTTAAATCAAATAATATATTTTCCTGTTGCATCGTACAATGCATATTGAAGTCGACATGTCTCAAAAACAAGTAAATATTGGGAAAAACTCTATATTACAAAAATTACGTATAATTTAAGGATCTTGCAGATGGACCGCATTTCCACATTCCAGGAATCAAAAATTTTTTTAATATCGCCACACCATCTATACAGGAAGATTTTAAGTAACAATTCTAACTGCAATTTGAAGCTATTCGAGGGACCTAACAACCCCAATTTCCGGAACTGAAATAAATTTCTGCATTCCGGAGACATTAGCAGCGGGAGTGTTAAATGGCACACCCTGTATATTCGAGAACCAAACTAATTTCAAAGTTAGAGATTCAGGTTTTCTTGGTAAACTTATATTATTTATTTACCTTTTGCCTCTCTTTCAGGAATTACTGATACTGAAGATGCATTATTATAAGTAAAATGTTTGTTTTCTGTATCAAAATTAGAGCTCATTACTGGGATAATAGCTGTGAAAATAGTCAGAATTTATGCAATACCGGCCAGTATCTTGCAAAATCTATATTTAGGGTGAAAACGGACCCAAAAATTGTTTAATCATAGTCCAAAATTGATTTCGATGTATTTTGACCAGCTGAAACAGATACCGTAGTTAGAATTTATGCAAAACCGGTCAGTACAGCAAAAATAGGAAAAGAAAGGTCTTTTTCTTGTTTAAGTTTGGGCACATATGTTTTTTCCATTCCTTAGAAATAGTTTGTACTAAAATATAATTACTATAGTTTTAATAGATATACTTTTCCTTTAATAGAGTATATTTTTAATCATAGAATAACATACTTCAACTCTCCCTTTCAGTCTCCTTTTTTTATCGAAGCTATACTCTAATTTCGCGAGTGAAAAAAAGTTTAAATTCTCTAAACCATGTTCTACCTGAAACTCAAAATTTCGTTTAATAGATGTGAGATCGTCCTAACCATCATTCCCAATTTTAACACAACAACTAGCAATATAACAAGTAATAGTAATGTGCAAGAAGTATCTTATATTAATGAAATAACAGACAACATGCCACTAGACAAGTTAAAGAACTAGTAAATTTTATTAATGCATACTTATTGTAAAAAAAAGGAAAGTAAATACAAAGACAGAGACATATCGATTTATACAAATTTAAATGATGTTAACTCTTCTTAATTAAAAAAAATAATAATCGGGAGTACAAGTTCAAATAAATATAGTTTGATTAATTTTATAACCCATGACATGGATATAATTAACGTAAATGAGATGTGGATCAAACCTAATCATGTGTACAAACAGATAAATTTAAAGATAATGTTCAGGCTAAAAAAATTCAATGATATTATTGACTCCAATTTGGAAGGTTTAGATTTGATAAAAATAAATTCACTAAATGGAAGCCTTCCCTCACCAAACAGATTTATCCCTCCCAGAAGTAACCCAAGCTCAGGAGGCATTACATCTTTTTCATGTCTCGCAGTAAAGATAGCTTGAAACTAATATTATTATCTCTATTTAGGTAATAGTGATCAGTGATCACTTCCCAATAAAATTTAGTTTGGATAGTGTAAAAGAAAATGAGATTATTAATAATTCAAATCATAGAAATTTCAAGGAAACGAATTGGCAATTCAATTCCCGAAAATAAATTTAATAATTGTCAATTGAAAATCTGTATAACGACACACTTCAAAATTCAATAACGAGGGCGGCAGAAATAAATATACCAAAAGTTAAAATGATTAATGACTGAAATAAATCTTACGTTCCTGGTCTTGAGTGTTCAGAGGTAATACAAAAAATAAAAAAGCATTTGAAATTCAGAAACAATCTCTCGATTAGAAAACTATTGCAACACAACAAAAACACCCTGCATGTCAATTTTTATCTTAAGCAAAACAATTTTCTTCGTATTAATCGTCTTTCATTCGTTGAACCCTAGACCATTTTGATGTAGTATTTTGTGACAATAAAAACCAAACTATCACCGGCGTTTAGTGTGTCAGTGTCATTTTGTCAGTTTTACGTTTCAGTCTAAAAATACCTTTATCTCAGAAAGAACGTATTGAAGTACTTATGATGATTAGTTTCGGAAACAGAGTGCGTACTTAACAAGAAGTGCGTAATTTATTTAATGTAATTCATCCTGATCGACCTCCAAGAAGATTCTAAACTGGACGTTTTACTAGAATGTCCAGGAATTGTAATTTGTTATCAGGATCTGTCACAAATACTCCAAAAAAATAAATATCATCTTTATAAGGTTTAATTGATACATAACTATTAGAAGACGCAGTTTTGTGAGCAGATGTGAGATGAATAATCAAAACTTAGATTTCACCCGAAATATTTTTTCTGACGAGGCTACTTTTGTTTTAAATGGACACTTAAACAGACAAAACTGCAGGTACTGGGCAACTGAAAATCCTCGTTGGACACAAGTCTGTCACACACAGCATCGTAAAAAAATAAATGTTTGGACAGGTTTAGTCGAAAACTGAATTCTTGGACCTTTTTGAAGAAAATTTAAATGGAGAACGCTACTTAGACTTTCATCAGTTTAAACTCATCCCCTCTTTAGCTGTTAAGTTTCCTAATCCACAAGATTCAGATATTCCTCATAATGACATATGGTTCTAATACGATCATTTTGCAATGTCTCAACTTAACTTTCCCTAATAAATGGATTGGATGCAGAGATCCTATTGAGTGGCCACCAAGGTCACCAGATTTAACCCCTTTAGGAGTATTTTTCCACAAAATAATTACCTGAATTTTAAACGAATTTGTTCCTTCCATCATGAACGCACTGTATGTATATTGGTAAAAAGCAGGAAAACAGATTAGTTAAATTATTCATCTTTAACAACGTTTATTGTTGATTAAATTACTTAACAACGGTGTTAATTCATGTTTCCTAATTAGCAAAATTAGTTTCAATCTACATTTATATTTTTCTAGATACGCTTACGTTTTTTATATTATATCTTGTACTAATTATGCAAATATTTCACCAAGTTGCATGTTACAAAAGGATTATAAAGATTACTCATCTAGATCACTTTAACACATCTTTATACAGTTTAAATGTAATGTTAATTCCGCATTACATTAGCATCAATTGTTCTAATCTTACTGGTATTTATAATTAATTTTATTCTATGACGGTATATTACTAAATAATATCCAATCTTTTAAGTGCCGTTGGTAATTATAACATTTTGGCAAATAGTTCTTTTCTTTTAATATACAGTAGCGATATGAATGTCTGTGATTGACATTTGATGTTTCATCGCAAAATTAAAGATAATTTAGATGAGTCGAATGATTGGATGGAACATTAATAGTTTATCAAATGATATAACCTTATCTGCAAATTATTAAAATATTTCTTTCTATGTTCTCATAATGGAAAGATGTTGCAGCAGTTGTCGATACATAACAATTGTTTCTTCAAACAGAGATCCAGAATCATTGTTCGGTTGAGGACCACAGCCTGTCACTAAAATCATTAATATCAATTTCCATTTGCTAATATTGATTTCCTCTTTACTGTCAATATTAGAATTCGATTATCTGACAGCATTTGAAGTTTCGTACAGCGGTGTTCCGTATTTCTAATTTTTTTTCTTTTTACATTATTTTCTGATTGCCTTTGTGGCTTTAAAAACAGAATTTTTCAATACCAATGTTTCCGGAAGAACTTTAACTACTGGTGGCTGCCGATAATTATTTATTTATTTTATTATAATTGTAAGTTTTTATTAGTCTTCTGTACATCTCAGGTAATCTTGTGCATTACCAAATGTTGATGATCCTGAGAACCACTAGATAGAAAATTAATCTTGTTGCTTTGCACTTTTTGACTATTATTTACAATTAGACAACAAATTGTTTTACGATAAAAACACATTTTTAAATTATTATATTCCAGCGTGTTAAAAGACTATAATAGAATAATGAATGTGAACAGCCGCCACTTTGGACAGGAGTGTGTGGAGTGGCTCCACAGCTGATATCAGGTTCGTTTTGAAACACCCTGTACATAGATCTCTAATTACGAAACTGATAATGACAAGTATAAGATAAAGTTACTTACTTGTTCTCCAGTGAGCACCACCCGCAATATGGATCCTTCACTCCTAAACATTCCAGGCAATTTCTGTAAACAGTACATTCCTGTACTTTAACTTTAGACACCTAGTAAAAAGAAAGTCATTAAAAATATTTGGCTTGAGGATAATAAAATAAATAGAAATTAACCATTTCATATGTTCATTTATATATGTATAATATACAGGGCGATTTATCAGTACTCGGCAATATTTCAAAAGGTAGGTAAAAGAGTAAAAGACCAATATAAAATTGTAGGAAAGTATTTTTTATGTCATCATTCCCATTTGTTTTGTAGTTGTCGGTTTAGTTCAATGACTCAGCTAGTAAGTCTGAATGTGCTACTTAAAATTGTAATGCAAGAAAATTATGTGTACAGGAGCATGCATGAACATTTTCTTTGTAAGTTCTACTAACTAGTCGAAGAACACTCTTTGCTGAATTCTGGGTTACAAGAATCATGATGTTAATAATTTTATGTAAAAATTTCTTTCATCCGTACCATTATCAGATCAAGGAAGTCCTAGGACCTGCAAATTTTGTGAACAAGTTTGTTAAGTGTATTCAACAACTCAGTTTACACGAAATATTTTTTAGACAGACGAGGTTGTGTTAACAAGGCAAAAAATTTTTAATATTAGAAATAGACAACCACAACCGAACTTTTCTTGACTGATATCCTGATCCTGTTGCGAGGTTACTTCGCTAATATGAAATTATCTTTAATGTGTATGCTCAGTAACGTTGATATAATTTTAATTTATTACTGTAAAAGTCAATATTCTACAAATTTAATTATATAAATTCTATAATTCTATTAGTTTGTCACTTGAGGTTTGAAACTTCTTAAATATTTCTAATATTGCCAGAATATCGCGATATTTAAGGTCATGACAAAGAAGCCACTTATGTCCAAAGTACATAAGGTTGAAAATCGATCTGGTAAAAATATTGAGAAATTCTTCATGACAATGTGCACTATGGGGTTGCCTATTATTTGGCGTATGTGACGTCACTACTAAAAAGGTCTATTACCACGTTTGAAACCGAGAAAACCCATGCATTTTGCAACTATGTACTTCAACCACAATATCAGTTTTGCTAAATTTTTTGATCAGATTATTTACTGTCATGGTTATGGTAGCCATATGTACTTATTTAAGACAGTACTTACTTTTAAATAAGGTCTTAATGTACTTTAAAACTTTTCTAAGGACATGCAAATGTACTTCTTTTAAAAAAAAGGAGGAAGCTTTTTATTTTTTTACTGTTTTTAAACAAATATCTTGATATATTGTTCTCAGTTAATTTCTTTTGGCACTTTTACTTGAATATTGACCCACTATGAGTTCAGTTAATATGAAATAATGCGTTCAGATAATATGATATAACATTCGATAGTACCCAATGCTTTTATTTCTATCTAATTGCCAACGATAGACATTTAAATTTGAAATCGATTGACCATTTCGTTTTTTAGAAATTAATTTTCAATGTTTAAAACACGTAATAATCCTCATAAACCACTTTTACCGTTTATGCACAAATTTATGTATGAGTAGAATATTTCTTTTTATTTTTTCAGTACAAAAAAAATTATAACTTGTTAGTTTAGTATACTTTAATTAATAATAATAATAACTAAATTATGTTTAGTTATTTTATGTGTTTATTTTCAATGGAAATAAGATAGTTTTGTCCAATAAAAAGATATATTTTGCGTTTATAAAATATTTTTGCATTTATGTTTAATTTCTCTAAATTTTGTACTTTTTTTTCTGAAAAAAGATATGGTCACCGTACTCATGGTTTAAAGCTTAATCCAAACCTACAATGTTCACGTACACATGTTTTTAAACAAATGTCTGATGCAAAAACCAAAACGTTTGCCCATTAAAAAAAACTAAACATCAAGTTTAAGTGCAGAAAATTTTCGGTTTCAATATTTCACAAAATAACAAATAAAATAGAGAATTATATTTATGACGTGAATCAGAGAATAAAAAAATATTCTCATTTCAAAAACTACCAGAGGTAAAAAAGAAATTGTCACATGATAGACAACTGACGGGCCATAAAAACAGTTCTTTCTATTTTTTTGTGTAAACGACAACGTCACTTACACGATCATTGGTTTGTTCTACTTATATTTTGTTTTGTCACTTTGATCTCCATTAAAAAAATTAAATGAATAATTTAGAGAATTTATCTTCCATATGCACTGATTTGTTGATTCAGAGATTAAAACAATTTTAAAATATCTTATGGCACTAAAATGACAATATGAGCAAAAATGATGAAAGAAAAAACTAATAATCAGCCGACGAACTATAAATAGCACATTTTAAAATTAAGCTTAATCTCTAGGCACAGAATCGTTCAATCAATCTTTATAAAATAATAAATTCTCAGCGACCGCACTAATCCAATTAATCTTTCAATATACCGGGTGTGAGTATTTATATTGAGACAAAATAATATCTCGGTGGGACTCGATTATTTCGAAAAAAGTTCCAGACAAAAATTGTAGGGCACCGAGGGGACCATTGAAAGGTCCATATTACGACTTCCGGTCTAGACCGGAAGTTGATTTTTTTAATGATTTTTTTATATTTCTGAAATCATCCCTTAAATTCTAATCTCCCTAACTCGTGTTAATTTTAATAGTACAAAAAGAAGTTATGTAGAATTTTATGGTCTACAACTTTTATAAGATATTCTTTTTCTATGACCTATGGAAGGGGCAAAAAATTATTCTCTAATACAAGGCTTCTATCAAACTTAGGAATTATATTTTAAATTTAAAAAATGCATTCATGTAACTTCACGCAAATGTTACATTCCAACGCCTTATGAACATCTTACAAACTTGCCTTGAAACTTCACGCATCCTTGTATCGCCTACATTAATAATATGATAAATAGTTGTTACATTGGCGTCCGTGACCTTTTTTACTGGGTGTGCTGCACGGTAGTTTTTAACAGGGAACGCTTTCCCCCTTATAAGTGGGTCAGCCCCTCGCCAATAAATACTCACACTACAGCATTATCAGTGACACATTAGTCGTATTATAAATAGTTTAAAAATCCCCGTTAACAAATTTCATAATAATATAGATTGTCCGTTGCTACTGAGCAATTTCTACTTTCAAATTCCTAGAATTAAGTTCCAGGCAGAGTTAGCTGCAAAAGTTTCAATTTGATATGCGACACTTGTAACATTAATCGTACCCTCGTACAAACCATCAATTGTGTCAACATTAAATGCAACAGCTGTATAGGTATAGCCAAAGTATGTACAGGTAGGTATTTATTTTTATATTCCTTTAAATTTAGGAATTTCTCATGTATTCGTTTCTTTATTTATATTTCCTGTAATTGGATTTATAAACTGTTGGGCAATAGATAGCGTAGGTGGTATAAAAATAGATGAATTCAACTTATTTTAATTTCCTAAATTTTAATCCAAAATTGTTGCATTTTAACGGTGTTCACTAATTGTATTTTGTCCATTCTTCGTTGTGTTTTTCAATGTTTATTCAATAAACGGAATTAAATTGAGTCTGTATGTATATTGACATTGCCATGTCTTTTTGTCTTTTTTATCTATTCACTGAAATGCAGTAGATCCCTTACCTCTATTTCCCTTCATACTTTCTCGTCGTAATGTACTGTCTCTACAAGATGAAATTAATGCTTTATTACACACTCTATAACTCCTATAACGTTAAAATAATAAGAAATAGTACAGTTTTCCAAATTCCAATATCTTTTAGAGTTAGTTTATTAATCTAGGTATAACAAAATAATAATAGTATTGCAATAACAGCATATTTCGTCATACAAACATCTTATCTTTGTTTAAAAAAAGACAGACCGCTTGTATTACGGAAATTTCTAAATAAATTTTACTGATGCTAATTAAAAATATCAATTTTTCTTCTCAGCGTTCATATAAGTTACGACTTTCATTTTTAGGTTATTTTATTTAATATCATTTAATTAAAGAAATAATATACAGGGTGTTAATTAAGTACGCCGACGAAATATTAAAGGATTATTTTTGAGTGATTTTAAACCAATATGAGACCACAAATCGATAGTGTCAATCAATTGTTCAATCTTGTCATTTTCTAGTTCTAAGTATTTTTATTGTTTTTCTTGGTATTGTGCTGTGTCAGTGTGTTTATCGAGTGGGTTTTATAGACGTCCTCTTAACCAGTACCAAACTTTTCTTGAATGATATCCTGTTGCGAGGCTACTTCTCTTACATGAAATTATCTTTAATGCGCATGTTCAGTAACAGCGATATAATTTTAATTTATTATTTACTATAAAAGTCAATATTCTATAAATTTAAAACATAAATTCCATAATTCTTTTAGTTTGTCACTTGGGGTTTGAAACTTCTTAAATATTTCTAATATTGCCAGAATATCGCGATTTTTAGGGTCATGACAAAAAAGACATTTTTGGCACTTATGACCAAAGTACATCAGGTCGAAAATCGATCTAGTAAAAAAATTGAGAAATTCTTCACGACAATGTGTATTCTATGGGGTTGCCTATTATTTGGCGTATGCGACGTCACTATTAGAAAGATCCATTAAATCCAGATCCACTGAATTTTTATATAAATACGTGTACCAGTGGTACCAATTGATAATACGCTATGTTGTGCCACTGCGGCTCGACGCCAAAGTGTGTTATCGGCCTTAAAGCGACGACTAGGCATTTCTTTAAATTAGCTTTAATGCGACGAACTTGCTTTTGTGATAACATCGAACACTTACTGTGATGTATCATGTGAGACTACAACCTGTCATATGCTTTCGGCTTCAGCAGTTTTCAATACATGTTCGCACTTATTAAATAAGCCCAGTATTCATTTATCATTTCTTTACTTTTTTGCGTCGCTTGGTTTAAAATAAAGACATTAAAAAATAATTCTAAGATTGTCAAACACCCTGCACAGAAATGATATCAATTTCCTTGAAGCAGCCTAAACATTTATCACTGATAAGTCATTCGGCTGTTTCAAAGAAATTAATATTTGAGAACATGAGCCATCCCGGATGTCGACTACG